AGAAGTTAATATCATTTTGCCATGGTAATGTAAGATTTATTCAATTAAAGTCAAATCTATTCGGAAAATACGATTCTTAATAGGCTATTATTATTAGCTCACATGTCATCGGTTTCTGGGAACAAAAATAAGTGTAGGAAGACAATTTTGCTTCAGAATTAGGTAGGTAGGCTCGTTAAATTTTCAACGATATACTCGTACAGTATCTACATTATTATATTGGAAACAGATGTCAGTTTTAATATGTGGAAATACTTCATGTAAAAAAATGATTTTCATAAGAAGAAATTAATGTGGGGAATAAGTAAAACTGAGTGGGGGACCTAGTAAAATATATTTCAAGAGATCAAATCATACATTCTATGGTGATCCTCATTCTATGTGTAGGTCTGGCTGTAAAAACCTATCAACTATGATTATTCCAGTTTCAGACTTATTATTAAGCTCTCTTAAATGTTTGTCAATGTTAAAAATATAATTATATTGTATATCCTAAGATGATTCTAGCCCTTTACTGCCACAAGTGGTAAAAATAACCTACTTGAAGCAATAACATTATCGGAAAGCGTTGTGGCGTGGTAGCTTCATACATTTCAAGAGCCAATCGATGTTTTTATTAGGTCTTTTATGTTATGAATGGTGTTGGACGACTATCGCAGATTATAAATCCTGAATTCAATCTGGATTAGTACCTGGGTTTATTATCGTGTTGTTAGAAATAAAACAGTTCATAGGGTTCTAAGTATGACATGCTATCTAAGCTATTTCGTTAGTGTGTCTGTTGAGCTGCTGTAGTTGCAATATGCATGCAAACGGTTTACTGGATGGTATGCGAGCAGCTTTCACAGACCTGCTACTACACTACATATAATAATATTTAAATAAAATGTGTAGATTTGCCTTTATGTTTCTAAATACCTATATTTAATGAAAAACTTCTTATCAAGTTTATTTGTTATTCGATAGAGATTGTTATGTACAGAAGCAGACGTTGTATAAATATACGGTAGGTATCTCATGTGAGTGCTTTCGATATTTTGATTCTATAATTTATAAAAATTTACCTACTCGCATTGCCGGCTTTTGTTTTCGGAATAAAGGATAGCTATGTACTTGTATTCTTTATGTCTAATAGGTTTTTTCATTACTGCCGTAGACTATTATGTTACAATGTAGACGCACATTTCTTCTCCTCAATAATGTTGAGGATCGTGATGAAATTATGTTGAATCGCTAATGTCGATCTGTAGAACGAGAGAAACATTATTATTCCGCAGAATTTTCTTCTACCTTGCTCTTTTGTACAATATTTTCCGATTGAATGGGTAAGATTTTTTGACATTAATATTCATGAGATGTCGAAATAATCCCTGCTTACATGATCCTTTTAGCGGTAGAATAACAGCAACATAACAAAAAGAATATAATAAGAACGTAATAATAATGTCCCTTAAAGCTTTGCTTTTAGTATCAACCACGTTGGCTTGAATTGGGGTGAGGTCTGTGCCGATCTACATTGAGTACGTATAGTAATAGGCTTACTTTGCTAAATTTAGTGAAAAATATAAAACATTTAATGCCAGACCGTATTAGTGAGCGATGTTGAATGAAAGCGCCTTGCGCATTTTGAAAGCTAAACTCGCGCAATAACATTTCCAAAGGCTTTATTTGTATCATTAGTCCTTGTATAATACAAAAAATAAATCAAGGTCACATTTATGTTAAATATCAGTTTAATAAAATTAACAACTTGGGGAATACTGATAGTAAAATCAAAATGAAATAATATGAAAACATCCAACCAACAATAGGTTAATTAGTATTAGATTTTTTTTGAACTGAAAATAAGCGCTCTACGTATTTCATAGCATTTGTCATACGTGTGAAATTAAATTTTCATCTTGGTTCAATAAAATAGCTGGCATATTTGTCTGAAGTTGTTGCAATTCAAATTTTAATATGTGCTGCGGTATGCATGCATTTGAAACGTGAAAATGAAATATTTTCAGTTATCTGCTGAGGATGACATTTTTGTTTATGTATTTTTATTTATGTGGGGACGAGGACATCCTCGAAGTTGTGGCTAAGTTTTGTAAATCAGATTTGGTTCACCAGCACGGACTCCATCCATCTTTAGTCTCCGAAACTTTGTTTAACTTGCACGAGCTTAAAGCTTGCCTTGAAACTCGCCCTGTAAATGATCACCACTGTTTGCTGGGAGCAGACCAAGTCTAAAAAGTTTGGTTAGGTCTTATCTTGTTTGAGGATATTAGAGACTGTACACGTTGCACTTAGCTGTGTTTCCTTAGTACGATGTATTACGTAAGTTAACAAGTATTAAGTTTTGCAAACTCAAGTTACATACTTGCCTTGATTTCGGCTTTGAAACGTTTCAGCAGTAAAATTAAACGAATAAAACGGAGAACTACTACAATAGTGAAAACGAACGTTAATAAGGCTTTAAAAGGCCATTTGTGTCGTCTGGAAACAAAAAGGGGTTAAGTAGTTCTTTTGTTTTCACTATGAAAGGAGAACTTGCTGAGTTTCAGTTTAAAAGATAGAGGAGACTCTCAGTTTAAAAGATTGACTAAAATCTATACTTATAATAATAATAAATCTGTAGAGAGGTCAATTCTGTACATGAAATATATTTTCAAAATAACTATCAGGGGGTGATTTGTGATCGATACTGATGCCAAAAATGCAATCAGTAAAATTTTTGTCTGTCTGTTTGTCTGTCTGTCTGTATGTTCCTTATAAAAACAAGAACTACTCGACGGATTTTAACGAAACTTGGTACAATTATTCTTCATACTCCTGGGCAGGTTATAGTATACTTAGGAATTCCCACGGGAACGGGAATTAGCGGGAAATTTCTTTTGTATGAAAAATCTAAACCGCTTAAGTTAGACGCTTGAAATTTGGCATGCAGGTACCTTAGTAAACTTAAAGCTTAGTTACAACAGGATATTGCAAAATTCCCACGGGAACGGGAGTTAGCGGGAAAAAACATTTGTATGAAAAAATCTAAACCGCGTAAGATACTTAGATGAAGGGGGTAAAACGGGATCCACGCGTACGAAGTCGCGGGCGGCCGCTAGTCCATAATAAGATATTAAAAAGATGAAATTACTTAGCTTTAAATTTCCGGAAAAGAATAATTAATTAATTAAGCAGATAAGCTAAGTAATTTTATCTAAAAACGTCTGACACGAAACTATTGTAATCTAATTCTCTTGGCCTTGCACTTAATTTTTATTACCTTAAGAAAGAGATCACAGGATTTATCGATCATCCCTTTTATCGGTCTTTGCCTCGCGACCGTCCATTACGGTATTAGGATGTCATTAACTTTTTATTTGAGATAAAAACCAACTAAACCAAGCCTGGTTAAGAAACGAGTGTTTTACGGTTCCACGGAATGGTCATTAGTATGCAGGACAGGCTAGTTGTTCATACATAAAATTATCCTCTTTTTAGAGAGCTACTAACAACTGAAACTTCATTAACTAAACGTATTATGTCCATCCGTGGATGCCGAAGGCTGGGCCAAGGTTCCGAGTGGCACTCCCCGGCGAAATTAGTTTTCCATTAACAGATTTCGCGTTTTGTAGCTACGAGTACTACGATGTCCGTAACGAGGCGTTGACGTAACGGGGAAATGAATGGAAATTACATTTTGTTGTTGTTTTCGTTTACTATTTTAATTGACTTGATGTTTTCAAAACTTTTATTAAAATTGAGCACATCTGTCGACTAATGCGATGACATCAAACGAATATAATTATTTTGATGTGTCTCGATAAAAATAGTTCTTTGCTTTTTGTTTGTACAAGATTTACGTATCAAAGAGAATATTAAAATACTACTTTTTCAACACTTTATATTTTTAAAGATGCTTATATTAACAAACAAAATTGTAGATATATTTGTTTTTATAATACTTAATATACTTAGTCGAAGTATTCATGACTTTGTATTTAGGTTTTTTATTAAAAACTGGATACAAACGTTCCCAGTTACATAGCCACAGGTCGTTGCGAGCAATTGAATGCAGGCGCTCATATTATACCCATCTGGTACACGCCGCTTGGCTGTCACATTCTCAGAACGTGCATTGTGCACTCGATGGCTCATCAACCGTGACAGTTGCACTAAGACTGTCGTACTTATGTCGCTGGTAATAAGAGATATCATAGGTTTTAACTTGTTAAAATCCAGATATCATAATAATATGATGAGTTTTCTATAGCTGGTTTAAAAACAAACTATATTTTATTTTTTAGTTGCGATAATTTAATAAAGAGTGAATTCGTCATGCATGGACATAATATTATCGTGAGAGCAATAGTTTATTAAATCAGAGTAGTAGCAAGTAGTATATGGAGCAGAAATAAATACAAGCTCGACCGTCTCAAAGGTGGTTGATTTGTTAATCTGTACTCAATCCAGTAGGACTACTTTTGATCGAAGCGTCCATCCATTCGTCTGCTGGCCAGCTTAACTGAGTAACAGGCACACGGGGATAACTCTGACGGAAAGCATCGAATTAGTGACGGTATAGGCCAATTTGTCAGTTAGTGTCCTTAGACTTATGCGGATATCGGCATCCAAAGGCACCATTTGATTAATTCAGGGAGGCTACTGCGTTAATGAAAGTCGCACTGTTAGAGCGATATTGTCCCCTTTTCGAAACATACAGTTTTATTATTTTGTAAGCTACTCTGACACAACTAGTTCTGATGATACTCCAAATGAAATCTATTTTTTTCACTGAATGGCTCAGGATAAGGTTCTGAAGGTCTTCAGGTTGAGAAATAGTTCCAGTTTTTAAATACTAGCTTGAGCTTGAACGAACTCTATAAGAGTAATTTTCAGCGTCGTCGCGTATATTTCAGCGCCACCTTTAATCACCTTTTTCCCACAAGCTAAAACCTCCTTTGATTCCATCACAAGTGGCTTATTCTAGTGCCTTGATTAATGACATTATTTTGTTGCAGGCGAGGTGATGGACCTGATGGCGCTAGTGGGCTCGGCGGTGAACTTCGTCCTGTACTGCAGCATGAGCAGGCAGTTCCGGCAGACCTTCACGCGGCTGGCAAGGAAGGTGCTCCCCTTGCCGAGGGCCAACGGAGACCCCCTCGTACCACTGAAGGCGTAGCGATCGCAACTAGCGACCACTTCGGTTGCTCACCTCTAGGCGTGAAGTGGCTTGACTATCGAATTTGGACAGTAGCCATAATCTTAGTGTTCATAATTGTTTGTGATAGAACTGACATGGACAGTGATAATGTGTTAGAATAATTTGTTTACTAACTGCTGTGATTCGTTGATGAGCCAAACAACCACAGCAGTTACATATTTGATGTCACAGTAGGATTATCTTGTATAGTATCCGAAAACCGGGCAAGAGCGTTTATCATAATAATTATGTATGTCATACATCGATGGAATATCCTTTCAGTAATGAGATAAGATTAAACGGGAATATGGAAAGCTGTTTTCTCTTCTGAGCTATATTTTTGAATCATATCCGCTGGCGAGAGGTTCGCGGCTGCTTGGAAGCTTAGTCACGTGGCAAGATAAATTTCGGGATGCTCGGCTAACAGACTTTACGAATTTGCACTCGAACTTTGCGTTTTGATAACCCAGTTGGGTTTGGGTAAACACTTTATTGTAAAAGTACTCATAATTCTCGGAAGCTGAAATACTGTGAAAGTTTGTCTTGAATTATGTTTATTTTGCGTTCAAACTAAAAGTAAAATAATTAAGTACAACTGCGGCAGCTTTGGTTTCTACGAAATAAGGTAGGTACATTTAGTACAACTTAATTTCTTAGGTAGATTTATAAAATGGGTGCTTTTAATGAAAAGTACTTGAATGGGCGAAATTGGTTGAAATTTAGGGTAATTAAGGTGAACAAAGCGAAACAATTGCCTCTCTTCATTAATAATTATAAGTGAGAACAGAATATAACTTAAAATCTTGCTGCGCTGGATGAAAGAAAATAAATTGTACCGCAACAATGTTGTTCTCAAATCCTAAACTAAAGAATTTCACAGTCTTCAATGCGATTCATATTCATTGTGATCGAAGGGTAGATAGATATATATCTACTTCATCTGCATGAGAATACTGAAACAAATGAGCTCTGGGTTATTGAAAGCGGTGTTCATTCCGCTTGCACACTAGCTTAAAACGCTTTTCTATTCGTCCGTGTCGGTATCACGAACACTGTAGCTACTGGCACTCGCATTCATGATTTGAATATGCAAATCAATATGGAGTTATGAGTCTCAATCACGATACACAGAGCGGCTGAAATCAGAGGATTTTAGAAAAAATAAAGCATTATTTAAATTTTGCAGACAATTTGTTTGTATTGTTCGAAAGTTCAATGTCCTATGCGATATTTTCACATAATATGAAGACAGCGATTGCTCCAAAGAATATCGTATTTCTAATTCTTTGGATTGGATATGGCTGACTTGGTAACTTAAATCAGCTATTCGTAATTAGTAAGTAGCGGAAAAAATAGCGAGTCAATTGGTAACACTTTTTACCTATATGAATTGTGCTTAGATATCTTTGTTAACATTCAGAATGTAGCGAATACTTAAAAAAAGTTTACGAATCTAATGAAGTAGACTGACTCTACTGGACTCTACGCATGTTACGTCACACGTTATTAAGTGTTCACTCGTACTTAACGGACTACTAAGTCTAAGTAAATTCACACAAGTTCTGTTTCACTTTGCATAGTGTTAGACTATCAGATCCCTTTCGATCAGTCTCGTTTGTAAGGCACAGTCGGGTCTAGTTCGAGATTGGGCTTAAACTTTTCAAGGGGACGCAAGCGGTGAATTCGAGTATTTCAATTAGTAAACTTCGGTTTTCGGGCAGACATGTCGAGGCACCTTTATCGAAAAGTTACAGCTACTTTCGGGCCTGCATCAAATTCGTTCTGAGAATTGATTTGAGAGGGATTCAGCCAACAAAACGCTCTATAGTAGGTACATGATGAAGTTTCACAAAGTTATACCAAAATTTAGGACTTAATCTATATTGTAATTAGCATGCAACACACTAGAATAATCATCAGTAAGTTCATCACCATCTAAGGATTCCCAAAGACGTGATTTGAAGGTTTTTACACAGTAGTAATAACTATTGTCGTTAGTAAAAGGTTTGTTAAAATAGGTTTATTAAAAATATGAGTTATCGTAGATCCATCATTTCAAGAGAAAATAATATAGATACTTAATTCGTTATTAAATTAAGAGCTGAAGTCATAGATACATTTCATAAAAGATTGAAAAGACTTTTGTGAGATTAAATTGAAGAGTAATTATAGTAAGTATAAAGATTTTTTGGGAACGAGAAAGGACAATGGGCAAAATGGTACCCGGCTCCAATAGATAAGCCTCTAATGTCGTTTGAAAGGTCTTACCAAGACGAACAACTTTTACTATGGCCAACAGCCTCAGATCTGGTTGTGCTTGAATACTTTTTTACAAAATGGTACCCGGCTTTAATAGTTATGTTTGTAGTGTCATTTGAAAGGTCTTACCAAGACGGGTAGTTCATCGTAGGTATAATCCTCTCCTTTTCAATGCTTCTTTTAGTTATATTAATAGATTGTAGTCATAGTACATACTCGTATACATGGATGATTGTGTTATATTTTCGTTTATTATACTTAGTGGAATTACTGCTTTCAAAACGTGAATTAGAACTGGCCCCATAGCAGACATTTTCCTACATCTAAAGGCCTTTTGAAATATATATTGGTTATGGCTATTGGAGCGGGTACCACTTTCCATACATTGGTGCCCATCATCCTTTGATAAATTATTTAATTTCGAGTTTCAGTTCAGTTTCAAAGTAGGTGCAAGCACTTGATAATTCTTTGACTGCAAGTTGTAAGTAATAAAGTGCTTTGTTCTCTTCCACAATTCACGGGAGACCGCTCAACACTTCCTCCGACGAAAGGTCATGATTTAATCAATAAATTCCAATCGAATTCATGTTAAAACTGGAACTGCTGTGGTGACCGTGATGTTGATTGCACTGAGTCAAGGAATGTGTTTACGTTTGTTACGAATCGAACCTTCTCGAAGTATTTATTTATCTCATTACTACCATCTTGCTCTACAGTAAAATATTTGCCCATACTATTGCAGTAGCAGTCATAACAAATAACGCCCGAAGAGTTTATAAAATATTTGTACAGATGGAGCTTCTCTGTTATAATAAATATTCCGTTGTAGGTCATGTAAACACTTTTAAAATCTAAATGTTTTCAAACACGGTTAACAAGTAGACATTTTAAACAAGGGTTGAATGACATGTCTCGTTTTATTTCTTGAGTCTTTTTGTAGTTGTGTGACACAAGTAGGTAGTAGGTAGGTACAAAGTCTGGGACGGAATATCATGATTTATATTATGAACTACCACAGCTCAGCGATATCCGCAGATGTAGGCATCCCTTGTGAAACTTGTATTCTGAGATTGGTGGAATAAAACTGAAATAGGTACTACTTATATGTAGATTTATTGAAATTTTTAAATTTTTCAATATGAAAATCGCCATGATTGGTTTGATAAAGGAAAGTTAGGGTAACTTTCGCGATTCTTTACAAAATTAAATTTACTTAGAACTCCCACGCCAGGTATAAATGATTAGATTATCCCGAGGGATTAGCAACTCCACCCACACTTTGATTCGCCCGTCGGGTGGGTGCTGATTAAAACCGCAAATAGGTAACTAAATATTGCACAAATCACTCCAGCCTGATTAATGAGGGATTATCAAATTTATGAAATTGATTAAATAGCTGCAATTTGATACACGTCTCCTTTGTTAAAATTCAAAGTGGAATTATTTGAAAATACTGACAACTCAGTCGTAAATGGTTTATTACAATTTGTGTGAGCTGTTATAACCAAACAAAACCTTGCTAAGACTTTGTGTGCCCCATCTGGGAAACGACTCGATACTACACAAGTAAATAACATTAGAGCACATTATGATTTATGTAAGGGCAATAAAATGTAAAATATTGTTTCACGAGCCCTAAGGGAAATACTAATTACTTCATAATTACATTACTAAGATAAATGTCACCCATTTCATCTCCTCCGAAATAATGGAATAAATTTTCCAACCCATACTAAAGGTGTTTAATGTTTTACGTGTAAAATATAAATTAAGGCCCGTTAACGGCGAAAGCGTACGCAGACGACCAAAAACGTTGCTCAATTTTATTAATTCTCAATATTTAGGTTTATTCAATTACAAATGAATAAACGTCATATTGTGCGACTGTTGATTTTCACGAGCAAACCTTTCCGCTTTATATAAAACTAGCTTTCCGCCCGCGGCTTCGCCCGCGTGGAATTTTGTCTGTCACAGAAAAACTTTATCGCGCGCGTCCCTGTTTAAAAAACCGGGATAAAAACTATCCTATGTTCTTTCCCGGGACTCAAACTATCTCTATGCCAAATTTCATCAAAATCGGTTGCGAGGTTTAAGCGGGAAAGCGTAACAGACAGACAGACAGACAGACAGACAGACAGAGTTACTTTCGCATTTATAATATTAGTTGGGATGATTTGATTAATTTCGTCCTAAGGGCGACCATTTTTGGGTTGATTGCGAAGGTGACGTTCGGTTATTTGGATTCAATTGGCTCTATTAATATTTATTTTACAGCTCACCAGATAAAATAACGACACTTTTAAGTAAATAAAAAATCAAATGAGAAGTTATTGAACCTTCTTTTAGATACAATAGTAGCCAGTCTTTATAAGGATCTATCGCTAAGGATTATGTTCACAACACTGCCGATCAGTGTGTAACGATGAGCATTCTATTCAGTTAAACCACCGAACCACCACCACTCTACAATCTATCCACTCTTACAGTATGAATGTGAATCAAGTCATGTGTGAAGACATCCATTCTGCTTCTTATTTTATCAGGTTTGGGTCCGTTTTATATTCCCTAATTCAGATGTATTTGATCCAGTCGCATACATTATACATAGGTCGACAGGCGACACTACATTAGACTATACTTTTTTGTTGGAAATTAACACTCATTATCATCACGCAAGATGCCGCAATGTTTTGTTTGATAGTAATGCTGTTGTTTTTTACTTATTACTATATTTATTAAGTAATTCCAGTAATAGCAGTCTAGCTAGTAAACAATGTATTCGTGAATGGCGTGAAGTTTGGGGTTTTGGGTACAGGAACAGCTTTATTCTTGCATCTTATGAATATACAGAGGATCCGGCTTTCTCGCTCAAAATCGATCACGATTAGGCGGGGATTCACCGAACAGAGAAATATTTCCAATTTGTAGGTACTTCTAATGAAAAACCATCAATTACTTTCAGGTAAGCTTAGGAATTTATTTCGGCCCATCTTTTCAGTAATTGGTTACTTGTCTAAGTGCTTTATGTAACTAAGTATTCTGCTTGTAATCTTAATACTTAGTAAAAGATTAAAAATGTCTTTCCATTTATCTAACCCGATGAAACTCAACTGTTCATAAAGTAACATTTGTACTGAGCTTTGTACATTTGTAAAGGTTAATTAGCCATTAGACTACTTAATCTCTAAAACCTAGCATAAATTATTCATTAATCCAGAAAGGTTTTAATTAGTGATGTTACATTTTGGCGAATTGAAGAGAGTCAAGAAACCTTCACCAACAATCGATTTTGAATGTTCAATAGCCCATTCATTCTTTTAACTCGCGTTTCATTACAATGGACGAGAAACTAAGAAAAGTGTATAGTGTAAGAGACGTCCTCATAAATATGGATGGAGTGAGTTGAGCTCTGCTTAGACTTCAGTCTTATTGTTTTTGTTTGTAGTACTCGTATATTTGTTTGAATTTGAAAACAGAAAGTGATAGATATAACAAACAAGATTTTAACATTTAATTATTTAAACAAAACCAATATTTCAGTGTAGTAGATAAATTAACAAACATTATTACATAACATATTTTTTAAAGGTTAAAATAACGACATTACTTTTTAAGCTACAGCTTAGATTTAACTAGTCATTTTATATATCCGGTGTAGATTGGGAAATACATGTACCATACAAAGCAATTCAATATTCATTTAGAGCCTGGCCAATGTGTTGTTCGTGTTGTAATATATGTATATGTAGAGTCATGTTAGCGGTCAGCGGTCGCAAAGCTTGACACATTTGAATATTTTAGCCGATCCTGTTAACAATTGTGTTACACATGCTAGTGTTTATTTGTCATAACATAAATAAATTATTAGTTTAGCTTTCGAGACAAATGTTCTATGAACTAAGTAAGTACTTTGTTATTGTTGAAAAGGAAATCTGTTAGGCTAGAATTAATTAAAATACCTATACGTAATTTAAGTGTACATTATACATATACAATGGTAACTGAAATTGAATAAATTAGGTAGGAATAGATTCAACGTATAAATAGGTTTTATAAATATAAATAAATCATAAGATTGTTTGTTACGTTGTTATTAAAAGTTTTCTGAGTTCGTCTGAGAGAACTACAAGTTATGCATTTGAAAACTTCTTTCGTTAGCTGTATTCAACAGCTGAGACAGCACAATACATAGGTATTCATTAAAATTAAACTTCATTTGTTCTTATTATTGAATTTTTATGAATAAATTCTGTGTAATTATGAATATTACTAAGATAAATAAGCATATTAAAACATTTTATACTCTATGTAATAACGTATTCAATTAAAACCAATGAATTTATCTATTTATTCAGATAATAATATTAGTATTTGGAACCTTAATGTTAATGTACATATCCAGCAAAAGAGACGTTATAGTGAAATGTAATAGAATTAGAGCACACAATTTATTGCAGAAAAAATACACACATGGTTATAATTAGGTATATCGTATTTTGAATCAAACAAGTTGTTGGGAACTAATAGAAGGTCTTTTATTGAAACCGCTTTGTCTATTTCACTGGAAGTTTAGGGTCCATCAAATTAAGGATGAATACCCTTAATTTCCAAAGGTATATCAGCACAAGATGGGATGGTTACAACACCACAACAGGACCACTTAGTAGGGTCCAAGCTATCACCAAACATGGGACTCTATTAGTAGATCGTTAGAAATTTCTACACCGCAATGTAAATCGGCACAGGCAGCGACATCTGTTGTCAATTTTCCAAAATTAAAAGAAACGTTTTAGTTATGATTTTTTTATTGTTCGTGACAACTTGTTTGAGTCAAACTGAAAAAATAGATATACCTACTAAGATATGTGATTTAAATAAAAAAGGCTTTTCATATCTACATAATACAATTACCTATTAAAATGTAATAGTAATTAAGTAATTGCCAATTGAAATAGAACCTAATAAAATGATCAATTTTTAAACTTAATTGTATGCACACGTTTTTTTT